ATATAAAGAATCTCTAACCATCATTGGCCGAGTCACTTATAGTTTCTACAAGAGACAAATTACACTTAAAAAGGCGATATCAGTGATGTTCTAAGTACTTTTTTCTCCATATGCAAATAATGATCCGACTTGTATTTGATATAGAAAAATACCCACTGAAAAACTGAATAAAATGGTATATGAACCATAGTTACATACCATATTACTAAGGAAAAATGGTTTATTTTCAAGCATTCCCTATGTAGTGACTATGCTTGAGTGATCATATTTTCCCATTTTCTCTCATAAGCAAGAGAGGATGCAACTAGTCTTTAGTATAGAAAAATAGCTCTTGGAAAGCTGTACAATATTTTCAGTAAACAAACTCTACATACCATTGGCTTAGTCCATTATAATTTAAATACGAGAAAAATCAAGGAAATGCACTCATATTTTGCGGTTTTCACCATCAAATTTCAATTTTTTCTCAAAACCAACATCATATTTGGAATCACTGTTAAAAACTGCATTGAACAATGTTTCTCTCGGAATTTTTAGACAATTTCCAAAAAATTCCTATTCTTAAAAAAGTATTGAAATGATGTATAAGGATTGTTCATAGAGTATTTTATTCGGTCTTTCACCGACTATCTTTTCATACTAAGGTTTGTGGGAAACCTATGCTGGATTTTTCAAAAATGTTATTTTTTCTAAGAACAACGTTCTCTGATAGAATCTCAAAACAACCGAGGTTAAATATGTATTTTGAGCTTATTTTTCATAAGAATAACTGGGCAATGTATGCAAATGTCTTTTCGACAAAAGTCCAGTCAAAATAAGGCAAAAAAATGTGGAACAGTTTTCTGATCAAATACATCCTCGTCCTTTGACATGCAAAGTCTCCTACAAGAAAATTTGGAAATTTTTTTTTATCTCAATTTTGTTGAAAACACAGTTTTTTATATATAACGAATCATCCGAAAGCCAAATATAACATAGATACATCTGAAGTCTGCATAACATTTAACGTTAAAACCAGTGATGAAAATAATATCTGTCTGGAACATCGTCTTATTTATTCTCAGTGGAAAAGACGTGAAATTTTAGTTTTTTGACGAAAAAGAGCAGATGTTTCAAAAGTTTCAACCGGTGTCTACCCGTCCGGCTGATTTTTTCAACCGACCCGGTCCTGTCGGATACCGGTCTGGCTGGATCGGTTCCACCTTTGCTCGGATTCAGTTATTGATGCTGATCACATACTTGGTGTAAGTTTTGAGTGAAAATTGAGTTTTCATATTCCGGAATGTCAATAGATCCTGATTCTCACTCGTTTTGGACGGTATATATATGCAGAAAAGCTTTTTTTGTTTTAAAACGATCATTCGATAAAACATAGAGTGTTATATATCTGGTATAATTTATTACTCTTTTCAGCTTTTTTTCAAAAACTGCAGAAAGAATGATAAAGGCGTGATAAAATCAAGTTTTGAATCGACGATATCCTTAAATCTGAGTAACCACGCTTATGTTCTCTATATAAAATACTTAATTTTCTAGAATGAAGATCCAAATTTTTTCAATTTTAAGTGACATATTCGTGACCAGCATGCTTTTCCGGTTAATGCGCCATTTGTCGTGTTTCTCAGATCGCTAATCTGACTCCTTCTATGCAAGCTCTATTTTCAAAGTAACCAAACTGATAAGGTAATAAACTGATAACTAAAACTGATCCCAAACTGTACAAACACATGAATTTATAATATTATAAGGTTACATCATCTTAAAATATTCTATTTTTCTAAAAAAATGTTCGAAAAGTTTTCTGGTTCATCCACCTACATCCTTTGTTTTGAGTATTATCTCAAATCATCGTTACATCATGATAGATGGAGGGTTTGTTTCGCACTGGAATACCGATTTATCCCGTAGAAGACAGATTTTTCTCATTTTTCTCAGATTAATTAACTTCAGAGCACAACTGGCTCTCCAGTAGCTTTGTACTCTCTCATTAAAAGGCTTTTGCACGAAATCATCCACTCTCTTTCGAAAAGCGATGAGCAAAAAACAAAACAATTCAAAATGATTTTCAAACTGTTTTTGATGTTTTTCTCTGATAATCTACCTTTTCATCCTTGAAAGATGTCTAGATTCAACCCTAACCACTGGATACAAGTCAGCTTTTAAAGCATTGGATTATGATGAGTGTTCTTCTTTATGATTTAATCAGGGCTACCTAGTAACTCTTCCAACCAAGCTAAAAGCGTTATTCAATATTTCATCTTTTATACTTTGCCAGACTAGCGTATATTATAGAAGAAAATGATGCATTATATTCAGAAAAGAGAGTCAACAGAAAAAAACTGCTTGAATAATATTATTCATGATTCGTATGCAATATACAACATCCATTCAAAATATATATCATATGCATAATAAACATGAAAAACTGAATTGACTGATATATTATTCATATGATTAGTATGTAACCTTATTTATTAGATAAAATTACTGCTAGTAGCCACATAAAAATTGCTGATATCATTCTTCAAAGTTTTATATTCTGCAAAATCTACCCACTAAATTATAAGCTATGTAGAATCGCTTTTTTTGAATGCTTTAGATGGATCTTACAATTTTATATGAAGAATAAAAGTTACATACTAATCATGTGAATAATATATCAGTCAATTCAGTTTTTCATGTTTATTATGCATATGATATATATTTTGCATGAATGTTGTACGCATTGCATACGAATGATGAATAATATTGTATGAGTAGTTTTTTCTGTTGACTCTCGTTTCTAAATATAATGCACCGTTCTTTCCACCGATCTGCAGAAATCGGATGTCTCGAGATCCATTCAAAACTTTCGAATGAAGAGATCTTAATGCGTCTGAATTGAAGAGTGCGTCGAGTTTTATATGTGTACAAGTTTTTAGAGAAAAGATATGGAACTTTTATGTCGAATACTGTAGAATTTCGAATACATTCCAGAATTATAAAATAATCTTTTTTGTAAAATCTCTTCTCTCAAAAGTTTTAACTAAATCTCGAGATATCCAATTTCTAGAGGATGGTACTTCGAAGACTTAGCAACAGTAACGGAAATCAGATACCAAATCGAAATCAAAGATAACTCGTGAAAAAACTATTTACTTTTAACTCAAGTAACTCGAAGTATGAATAACGTCTATTTAAAGTTTTCTAGTAACAATATTAGTAAACAATCTGTTTACAGATTGTTATAGAACTTACAAGTTCTGTGGTAAACGGTATAAACGAGTTGAAAACAGCTTTGAATATAAGGCTGTATCGTATAGCGGACGTTTTGCTGTATTGGATATTTCTTCCGCTGATCTATCAATCTTCATCATGAAAATATAGAAGGAGAATATCATAAGCAGTTACAAATAAACGCATAATAATCAACCGAAGAAGTTTTCATCATAGAAATATGCTGTCAATCCAATAATTCGAATTAATTTCAGTTGTGATATTTATGGAAAAAAATAACTTATCATTTACAACGAAACTAACTAAGTGTGTCTTACCTTAGAATCGATTAATTGAGGGTTGATCTATTCGTATAACGATATGAAAAACGATTTATGTTGGTTAACACTGTGGACACCACTTCTTTTATGTATGCCTTTCAGATATCACAAACAAATATAATCTAGACACTTGAGCACAATTATTTGATGAGCAAAAAAAATTTTAGCTTAGTAGTTTTTAAATCGAGAGTAAATTATCGAACAGTGTGTGAATAATGTTGGCTAATCTGAACTACAAATGTACATAATCCCATTGTAATAGCCTTTTATCAAGATAAGTAACCATCCGTTCGCATATTACACAATAGACTGATATTCAAGTACTATTTCATATTTATAATTTTGGTTCGTATAGTAGTAAGTAATCCTCAATGACGGAATATAACGCAATAGACAAATATCCTCCTGAAGTAATGAATTTGTATTGACTCACCTATTAAATGTTGTTATTTTAAATATATAAGATCAAATATTCTTCTGAACATAGGTACTAATGACAGAAAAAAACCCACTAGAATAAAATCGCACGTAGACAAACTAAATCCTATGTAAGTTGTATCAGTAACAGAGATCTCATTAAAATAATAATTATAAAATCTATCTAATCAGTGAATATTCAAACGGTATTATTTACATCATGTTGAATAAGATTATTTTCTTTGTATATTTTGTAAATGACAACTAGACTAAAATTAGTTTGTACGTATGATAACGTATAACATTAAATGATCTAATCTTTCTTTTCATCATAGAAAATTAGATCTTTCTATTGTACTATAATACTGAAAAGATATTTATGGTTATCTAATAATATTTATTTAGTTCATAAATAAACACTTTTGCTCTCTTACTAAGCCGTTTTTCTCTTAATATACACTAAGTCGCATAAATATCTAAAAACAGCAAAAAAATCGAAAAATATAATTTTTTTACGAGAACAAAATTCCATCATCCATTGATTTTGATCTTCAAATTCAACGTCTGACTTTAACTTCGACACATTCATTCAATCTAATAAAATGTTTTTTACAAAAATTTGGCCAACAACACATTGCAATTTTGCCTTTACATCGAACGCAATCACCTTGAGCACGTTTTAGTGAATCAGCAATGCTTACGGTGTTATCATCATCGTCAGAACTGTCACTATTATCAAAGCCACGTTCTTCTAAAAATGATCTTGCTTCAGCCACTGATAATTCCATGTTGTTATCGAAATCATCATCATCACCAAGTGACATTCGTTTGTTACCATGAACGATCGCAATAAGAACCAAACAGAAGAATAAAATGATACCTGTACGCATGATTACAAAAACACCTAAGAACAAAGATACTATTATGATCCTTTATCTCCCCTGTCAGATTCAGATAAGTCAAGACAGGAGTTGCAGAATACCAATTACTTCTACAACATTTTATGATAGTTTCTCACAGAGCTGGACAAGTCAAGTCAAAAATGCCTTAAGTACAAGTCAAGTCAGACTTGATTTAGAGAATCTTTTTGTTGACTTGAGACTTGAAAAAGTCCTGACTTAGCCAGCTCTGGTTTTTCACACTAATCCAAGTTTCTAATTTGTTAAGACTTTAAACAGTTAGTGTAGAACGTGGTTACCTTATTTAAACTACCGCAATTTTGATTTATAATTGTTGGTATGTTTATAGAATCGACATTTACCGTTGCTTATATAGTGTTCATAGTTATAACTATATTACTCATACATTTATCGCAAGTAAATGAAGCAAACACAACAAAACTATAATACTCAAGGATAGATTCTGCTATATACTAAATCTACCGTAAATTTGTTCGAGCATTTTCTATTAAAATAGAGGTATTCTTGAAGATTTTCAATAGAATATTTTATAATAACATGTTTGATAGCAAACAAAAACAGAAATTTTATGAATCTAGTCAAGCAAAATGAATGATTAATATTCATGTCACAGCTTCCTAGTAATGGGGATTGTATTCGAACCGTCTATTCTACGTACATATTGCCAAATTGTTACCAATTCGACAAAACTTTTTTATTCATTGTAAAATGTTAAATACTTAAGGACATGAATTATTTCATGTAATCCTATGGTAACTCAATTATTAGTCGAATGTATAACTAAGCAAATTGAAAGGTGCCATTCTTTTCAACTACATCTGCTTTTCTGTATTATTCTGATAAAAAAGCGAGCAGAAATATGCAAAAAGAAAATTGCTCGAAAATGTTGAAATCGAAAGAGAGTTGTAGCGAAGAATCCAATTTATTTTAGAAAAACGATTTTTCATGAGATCTCTAAAAAATGGAATCATAACATTGAAAGTTAAAATACACATATATGTTGCTTTTTATATGCAAATAGATAGTGGCAAGTATCTTCTCGAAAATGAACGTCATTCCTACTCTTCATTTATTGTGGTTCGGACGTAGCGTCAGATTCTTTGCGAATCGTCTAAGGTCTGGTATGATATCATATGTCGTAATCATCCGGACAACTGGAGCATAGATTATCGACCACGTTGAACTTTAAAACAATGTTTTTTTTCATTAAAAATTCTAAAAAACTAGTGAAAATCTACTTTAGACGAAATAACACATTTAAGCCCCCTCAGAAATCGATGATTTTTATAGAAAAATTGAAATTGAGTTTCTTGTTCAGCTAGGTAGGCTAAAGTCTCCTTTTTCAGAATATGTGTCGTTTTCTGCTAGGTTTTCTAGCGGTCAAATAACCGCTATGAGAATAAATGAAATAAGGAACTTTTTTTTTCAGAACATCGTTTTAGCAGAGCAAAATTATCTCTTCCCGTAGACGATTCATCGTAAAACATCATCTTTTTTATTTCCAAGCTAAGACCTTTGTCTAAATTTTGTCCGTGGCAGTTTTTGAATTTCGCTTTCTGTGTACAAATAAGTGGCAAATACTCCACCGAATTAGTACAGAGTTATTTTCACAGTTCTGACTTAAAATATGTGTCGAGAATGAACGAAAGAGAAATTCAAAAATCATTACGGACTAACTTTAGATGTAGGTGTTTACTTTCATTTGAAACCACTCGCAGCTTTCTGCTTCTTCCGACAACAAAGCCCTAACGCTTTTGCTAAGAGCCCCATTTTGCCCGTTGTCACGTGATAACACGTCAATGCTTCAACGTTTAGATCTCAAATTTTTAGCATAAGCTAGGTGGACAGTAAGCATCAATCACTGTAAGTGCCATCGAAATCGGAACTAGATTGTGTCGCATTTTGTGTTGCAGTAAAATGTGTCGCAGCTTCTGTGAGAAAACTGTGTCGCAAAAGAATGTCTCGAATGCTTGTGTCGCCGTTACTAAAAGCTTTTAGACACAGTTCTCGAGGCCATTTGAGGATCTACTCTGTTAAAAACTTGCTAAATTGTATGTTTTACTATTTTCAATAGCCTTCATTAGGATTTTTCTCAGCTTCTCTTCAATTTTGACGAGCTATAGGTGGCGCTAATAAGTAAAAGATAAGAAACTTTTCGGGCTTTTTAAGTTCTTTCAATTTTCCATTGATGTTATTCGTGGCTAAAGATCCCTGTCTAAGTCTTTTTAACATTTTTTCTATGTTAAACATTTTTTCTTTGACGGTTACACGTTCGTGGTAACACGTTAGCCCTTTATAAGTTGCTATAACAAAAATAATCTCCAGTTGGGGTTTTGCACACCAACAATTATTATTACGATAAAATATTTTACAGAAAAACTAATGTACAATTATCAGAATTACTATGGGCAGCGCTTCGTCCCATATACGATTTTTGGACCCTTGGTCAAATGTTTTTCAACAATAATCAAGAAAGAGTGGCACTGATTAATGCTGTGCAGTAGAAAAAAGTGTGCTGAGTTTAATGGCGAAAGCCGATTGTGAAAATATCCTTTATTTTCGGAGTAATAACCATTTTACGGAATTACTGAGCATTTGAACACCTAAATCCGAAATGCTTCAGTTTTCTTGTGCCCAGATGTTTTGGAGGAAATCTAATGACAGGTTCTTGTGCGTTAGGATCAAGGCTTTCCAACCATACGATAAAAGTTGACAGTTATGGGGATGGCAGACTTCGGGTCTTATCTGACGACGTCCTTTGATAATCTGCAAACACATAGAACATTTGTGGAGAAAAACCAGGTCGGTCAAATAACGAACAGAAAATATCTCGCCTCATTAGACGAGTGCACCTAATATTCCGTAATAAAATCGAAAGTTTAAATATTGAAGGAGATTGACAAGTAATAGTAGTTTACCGTTTTCTACTGTAAGAATTTGGATGCTGTTGATCACATTCAAAGATGCGGTCTTAATATGTTTTTGACAATACCACTGTTCAATGTTTGACAAATACTACGTACGTTACTTTTATAGTTTTTTCTATTTTGGCTTTCGACATTGAACTTGCACAGAGTTCTTGGTAAGAGTGATAAATTCTTGAATCACTCTTCGGTCTACACCTGTGTAATTGAAAGAAGCTTGATTTCCATAACACTATACGCTGCGTAGAAAAATGACTAAGTCAAGCGTTGTAAATAATTATCAAAGTGAACAACTTGTAACACGACCAGTAACTATCTACAACCTCTTTCTGTAATAAAGCGACATCATTTAATGGTCTGATATTTGTGTCCAGAATTTTATTTTCCAGTAAAAATACTTAGATTGAACTCACAATATGAAGCAGTTTTATATAGCTCTTCAATACTCGAACAAGTTGATACAAGGTGTCTCCCTAGCAACAGCTACTAAAAATAGTATAATGGTGGTATGTTTTGACGAAAATAAGAATAACATTGATAGATATACGCAACGTTTTTCATGCGTTCTTGGCAACGTTAGTCGCAAAAAAGATACAAAATGAGCCAAAGACACACATTACAAGGTTTGTATAGAAACTCTTTATCTTGTCTGCTACCAATCAGTCTGGTTTAATCGAATCAGAATGATAAAATCACCGAAGGATCAACCCTCATTCAGAAGTCTATGTTAACCACTACTACCAGAAGCATCCACACAATCATATCACACTCACGATAACATTGTAACAGTTACCTTATGATGCTGTTTAGTTTTTGAACAATATCAGAAAGCCCGTTTAACATTTGTACAAGCAGTCGCTGATTTAGCCACTCGTCCACAAAATATTGAAACTTTACAAAATGCCGGCGTCATGGCTCTGTTACGCCCATTACTATTAGATGTTGTACCATCTGTTCAACAAACTGCTGCTCTAGCATTGGGTCGATTGGCCAATTATAGTGATCACTTAGCTGAAAGTGTGGTGAGAGGTGATATTCTACCACAATTAGTTTATTCATTAGCCGAGCAAAATGTAAAACTATAATAACTCACTCCATTTCTTTCTAATTGATAGTTTTCATATCTTTTTTAGCGATTTTATAAGAAAGCTGCTGCATTTGTTCTACGCGCTGTTGCCAAACATTCACCGCAATTAGCCCAATCAGTAATTGATTGCGGAGCACTCGATGCACTTGTTGTGTGTTTGGAAGAATTTGATCCGTCAGTAAAAGAGGCAGCTACATGGGCATTAGGATACATTGCGAGACATAATGGAGGTATGTTTTTAGAAAAAGAAGACAATTTAATCTTTTATTTGGTGTTTTTAGAATTGTCTCAACATGTTGTGGACGCTGGTGGTGTTCCACTGTTGGTATTATGTTTGCAAGAACCCGAGATTGCCTTGAAACGTGTCGCTGCATCAGCTCTCAGTGACATAGCTAAACATTCACCAGAATTAGCTCAAACGGTGGTGGATGCTGGAGCTATTGCTCATTTAGCACAGATGATCCTGAACCCAGACGCACAATTAAAAGTAAATACACAAATTTATTCATATTGTTCTAATCATATTTTATCTTTCAGCGTCAAGTATTTTCTGCATTAAGTCAAATTGCTAAACATAGTGTTGATTTAGCTGAAATGGTTGTTGAAGCAGAAATATTTCCAGCTGCGTTCGCCTGTCTGAATGATCCTGACGAATACGTAAAAAAAGAATTGTGCAACACTTATTCGCGAAATTGTTAAACATACACCAGAGGTAAAACATTTGTCGATGCGTTGTAAAGTCTATGTCAAATATCTCTTGTTTGCTATGAAATAGTTGGCTCAAATGATCGTCAATGCGGGCGGTATTGCAGCTATTGTTGATTATGTTGGCTCAACAAAAGGAAATGTTCGTTTACCAGGAATAATGATGTTGGGCTATACAGCGGCACATACAGAAAGTTTAGCCATGGCTGTTATAGTCTCAAAAGTATGTATATAGTAGCAAATTAGACTTAATCAACAGTTTTAAATTAAATATTGTGTAGGGTATTAATCAATTATCAATTGCATTGAATGAAGAGTCGGAAGATCATATTTTAGCTGCTACAGCATGGGCATTAGGTAAGAGTTCATTTTCTTTATAAATAAAACTATTAGATTCCACACTGATTGATTTCAAGGACAAATTGGTCGTCATACACCTGAACATGCAAAAGCTGTTGCTGTTGCCAATGTTTTACCAAAACTTCTACAGTTATATATGAAAACAAACATGTCAGAAGATTTACAAACAAAAGTATGTTGTGTACTATTATTTTTCTCTTGTTAAAGATGTTCTACTTTTTTTTCAAGGCAAAAAAAGCATTAAAAAATATTTTACAAAAATGTGTTTATTTGCCCGTACTAGAACCACTACTACATGAAGCATCACCAAATATTTTAAAACACGTTGTGGCACAATTTTCAAAAGTCTTACCGCATGATCCAAAAGCAAGAAGATTATTTGTCACGAGTGGAGGTCTAAAAAAGGTTAGATGTGAAAATGTCATATCTATTTAAAACTATAAAGTAATTATTTAAATAACTTTTAGATTCAAGAGATAAAAGCAGAAGAAGGCTCACCGTTAGCCGAATATATAAATACAATAAACAGTTGCTTTCCCGAAGAAGTTGTCAAGTAAGTATACTTGTTCTATGTGCTTAAAATCATAGGAGAAATTGTTTGTTTAATTGGCAAATAACTGAAAAACTATGAATTATTTATTTATTTTCATTTTCAGATATTATTCTCCTGGTTATGCCGATGAACTTCTCGATAGAGTTGAACATCACGGTTCGAAAACATAAAATATTTATGCATATAATGACTTGTTTCACAAAACAAACAAAAAAGTGATGTCCATCTCAATCAGGGAGTAAAAAATACTATATTAAATTTATTTATCTTATAATTATACGCTTTTTTCGTTCTTCTTTTCTAAAGAGTCAAACATTTCTGTAATATATTTTTTCATTTTTTCACATAAAAATTTATCATATTTAGAACTAATATATCGCAATTTGTTAATAAATTGGATGAGAAAGCCTAAGCTTTTTGTTTGGAAATGGTCAATTTGTTTCACAATCGCTTTCTTTTTGGTACTGCAGACACGATACATAAGAAGATGGGATGGCCGAAATATCAAAATTTTGAGAGTATTGGATGTACATATTTTTAACTTACGAACTTAGCTGAAAACTAGTTCCAAACTAAGAGTTCCGCAAAATTTCGTGTTTTTTTACAATTAAACAAAAGACAAATCTGTCCGTAGGACGAAGAATTCAAGCACTAATATGAACAAAACGGTTGATGATACTTGGCTTTTGTATATTCTATTTAAAAAAGGATTGATCATTAGATAAATTCTTGTAGGAAAATCATGTACTTTTGAACGTATATAGGTCCACAACAACAGCTTGATAACCAAATAAATAATCCTAACATATTCTAAAATTTTGCATATAACCACAGGAGTTTTCTGATAGAAAATATGTTTGACTATAAAAAAACTCTGATTTGTTTCTATCTCTTAAGTATAACTCAAATTTGCTAAACTGTTAGACGTGTACAGTTATCTTTCGTAATGTCTTAGGTAATTGCTATGTTACTCAAGAAAAATATATTTTTGACAGAGGACATTAAATTTACCAATTTATTTTTTATTCTAATTTACTTGAATGATTTTAGCCTGTTTTACTAAATACTCCAATTAGTAACAAGAAAAATAGCATTGGCTTTTGCCATAGTCAGTCAATAATCAAAAAAATAATCACATTTGAGTAAGATTATTTTATTTTTTATAGACGAATGTATTCAGTCTATACAAAAATATACACATTCTATGAACAAAAAAGAACAGTCACTTTCATTGTGTTATATATGCTTTAGTTATTTTAACATCTTCCACAGGTCTGTCATTATCCGATGTTTCAACGAAACTTATCTTTTGAGCAATTCCCATACCGCTATAAATGCGACCAAATATCGTATGAATATTATCTAGTGCTTGTAATGGGGCTAATGTGATAAAAAATTGTGAACCATTGGTATTGGCACCGGCATTGGCCATTGACAATATACCAGCACCTAAACAGATAATTAAAATACTATCAGTTAACAATTCATTGTCACATTTTATTTACCTGTATGTTTTAATTGTGGATGAATTTCATCATCAAAATATTTTCCATAAATTGACGCTCCACCTCTACCCGTTCCAGTTGGATCACCGGCTTGAATAATAAACTCTTTAACAATTCGATGGAATTTACATCCATTATAATAGCCTCGTCGAGCTAATTCAGCAAAATTTCGACACGTTTTTGGAGCATGTTGCCAATATAATTCCACAACTATTTTACCCAAACTAAAAGGCGAAAAAACTAGAGTTAAAGTCGAGAGTACATATGAAGTATATTTACATACGTTGTTTCCAGTGTGACAAATGGTGGTTGCCAATCGTCAGGTGGTATGCCAGATATTGAAGCATTATTATTCAAATGTACCAATGAATTATTATTATTATTCTGGTATACAGCACTCGTCATACTTCGACACTTTTAGTATTGATCTAGAAGCAAAGAATGTACTCATTTTTGTGTAATCAAGTCAAATACTATAATCAAATATTAAAATAGATGCGCATAAAAAATCTTAATGAGCAGCATTTTACTCACACAATTAAAGCATTAAAACCCAGTAATAAACCTCATAGATAATTTTTTGAAACTCTGATTTTCACACACCCTTAACAGATACCATTTTGCTGTAGAAGTGATGCAAGTCTCCGAACAGCAATAACTGAAATCATTACTGCAGTTAAAGAAATAGCATTTCAAGTCCAAACTATTTGATTGAGTGTCAGTCTAGCGTACAAACATAATATTATACTTGAAGCCTCTAAAAATATCATGCACACACATGTTTAGTTTTTATCCGAATCGTTCTACTCACAGACAAATAGAGATTAAGTATTTTTATATTTTACTGTTGTTATGGATGGTAGTCTCTTATATTTATGGTTTTATACAGTGGTGGCTAGAATCACTGACCCATCTTTGCTTTTAGTTTTTCTTCTTGACTATAACAGGATTAGAACGAATCTAAACAAAGAATTCTGAATAACTGAAATAGTTTTCCATCTGGTGTGGTGTGTATAAAGGTTTCATCGAAAGTCTGTGTAATTCGGAAAACGAAAACCCTAGACAAGAAAGTCCTCGAATTCAATCGATAATTTGTTTTGCAAACAGTTGTATAGTATAGAGTACATATTAAATTGAACAAACTAAGATATTTTAGTTAGAGCTCTCTACAATGCTCTTTCATGAAACAACATTCAATTTACGAAAATCCTTCTACCGTCAGAACCAACAAAATTAACGGAAGAACACAATAAAACAGCCTTTAAAAGGTCCTTCGTAAATTGAATGCTGTTTCATGAAGGAGCATTGTGGAGAGCTCTAACTAAGATGTCTTAGTTTGTTCAATTTAATATTTACTCTATACTATACAACTGTTTGCAAAACAACTTATCGATTGAATTCGAGGACTTTCTTGTCTAGGGTTTTGGTTTTCCGAATTACAAAGACTTTTGATGAAATATACACCACACCAGATGGAAAACTATTTCAGTTATTCAGAATTCTTTGTTTAGATTCGTTCTAACCCTATTATAGTGGAGAAGAAAAACTAAAAGCAAATGTGAGCCAATGATTCTGACCTTCACTGTAGCCATTCAAAAGAAAACTGACAAATTATATATCAGGTATCTGATCGAGAACGACATTTCAGAGTTTATTTGAAGCGTTCAAGATACCAGCGAGAATTTTCACATCTTTTTTTCCCCACACGGAGCTGCTCTGCCGTTTTCGACTATACACAATATCGTTTTATACAGGAAAAAACCAAACATAGTTAAAAATACTAAAAGAAAATATGACAGCATATGGATTGTGATATAAATAAGAAAAATAGAGAATATAAAACAATACATACATAAAGAGAGAACAAATAAGCGACAAATTAACAACAGATACAGCAAACAGAAAAGAAATTAATCATCTTTTTTGAGAAAATTTATTATTAGCACGTTTGATAGCCCCACCAGCACTGTGACATTTTGGACAATACCAGTTCACATTCTCGAGTGGTTCTTCAGTTATTCCAACACAATCCCTAGACAAATATATTCACCATTGAAATAGCAACAGATTCGTTATTCATCTTATTAGATGTTCAACAAGTTTTTTAAACTTACCAGTGATACCAGTCGTCGCATAAATCTAAAAATGAAAAGACTGGTCGTTATTCACATGTATGTTGTGAAGGTATCTTTTTGTCTTATTTACCACACGCAATCATTGCTTCTTGCCCATTATCTGGTCGATCGCATCCAGGACATATCCAAACTTTTGAATCAGTTTCATGCCAGTCGATCTAAAACATGTTTAGGTCATCGTGGTCGTTCCCGACTTCCGATTCAATCACCTCAGAATACTGGTCAAGCCATCATCACACCCAATCCTATCCCAAGTACCGTTAAT